TGCCAACGACAAGACGAGTTATCCATGCGCGCTAGATATCCGCGACTTAATCACATTGGAAGAGATCATGAACGACGACCAACTTGGGCCGAATGGTGGTATACTATACGCATTCGAGGAATTGGAGAACAACATGGAATGGCTTGAGAATGGTTTGAAGGAGCTGGGAGATTCGTATATTCTTTTCGACTGTCCAGGTCAGGTCGAGCTATATACGCACCACAACTCCCTCCGCAATATATTCTTCAAGCTCCAAAAGATGGGCTACCGAGTATGCGCTCCCCTTGAAGATTTCAACTGAAGCGTGTTCACTGATGAAGCACAGCTTGTCGCACTGCACCTTTCCGACAGCTTTTGTCTTACTCAACCGTCTCTTTACATCTCCAACCTCCTCCTAACCCTCCGCGCCATGCTCCAGATGGATCTCCCTCACATAAACGTACTCACAAAGATCGATAAGATCTCGTCGTACGATCCGTTGCCCTTTAATCTCGATTATTATACCGAGGTCCAAGACCTATCCTATCTACTACCATATCTCGAGGAAGAATCGCCTGCAATGCGTAGTGACAAGTTCCGCCGATTAAACGAGGCAGTCGCCAATCTCGTTGAGAACTTTGCGCTGGTGCGCTTCGAGGTTCTAGCGGTTGAGAACAAGAAGAGCATGATGCATCTCTTGCGGGTCATCGATAGAGCTGGAGGGTACGTGTTTGGAGGCGCAGAGGGGGCAAACGATACAGTTTGGCAAGTTGCTATGCGCAATGAAGGGTCCTTGATGGAAGTACAGGACATTCAAGAGAGATGGGTTGACGCCAAGGAGGAATACGATGCGGCGGAAGAGAAGGACTGGGAAGAGCAGCGGAAGAGGACTGGGGGTGACACTGGAGCCACTACACCAGACTTAATTCCGGATGAAGGTGACGATGAGTTCGATGGCATGCCGCCTCCGGTAGGTGATAGTGGAGTGAAAGTTGTACGAAAGAACCAATGATACCCTTCAACCATCGCTTACTTCCCCCATTTCTACATCACTGTCATCATCTTCGATATCTGGTAAGTCTGCCATAGCAACTTCGCGTTGCTGTCGCTCTGGTTTTCCGAATATATTGCTGAAGGGATCATCAGTATTCTCTTTCTGATCATTTTGCGCGGCGAAGATGAGGTTCCGAGCACGACGAATAGCTTCTTCCTCTGCTTTACGCATCGTGCCGCTGACGTGGATAACGCGGAAGATGCATGGTTTCCCGTTCTTCACAGGAATGGAGGTCATGAATGTGAGAGCAGCCCAGAGTAGGCGATACGATGATCGCGAAACCCGCAGAATGAATGTCGAGGTGGCGTGAGACAGATATTTAACTGTAAAGTTCATGTAAGACTTGTATAACTTGTGAGGGATTCCGCGTCGCTGACTCACCCGATAAGTTTCCACCCTCGAGAGCCCCCGAGCCATAGTCCCCAAACAAAGTAGCAGCCTCTGCACGTATACCCCTGAGGAGAGTAGCGGAATTGAGTTGGTCGGTGGTAGGCTGGTTGATAACCACAACATCGGGGAGATCAGGCCGACTGCCGAGTTCATTCGGGTAGAGGATCTTCACCAGGAGGTAACGCTCCTTGATTCGTACCATTTTATCTGACTTGAGTAATCATCTAGTTCTGAATGATTTAGAACTATCTAGAAACAATAAACAATAGTAAAATGATGGATTTATAGTCAAAGACTTCAGTGTGCCTGACAGCTGAATAACTGAGGATTATGAATGGGTGCAATGGGCGATTGAACTCTCATGCTTGCTATGAAATTTCCGCTCTGCATAAAGCTTTATCTTATCGGGCCTTGGCGGGGACCTTGTTGTCCTCTAGGGCTCTAACTTATAGTACCATTACAGTGCAATAAACGGGGTTAGTAATCACTGTATGACGATACTTCGCTGTTAGACAATGCCGTTGTATATCGTACTTGACTGACTTCTATCCATGGATGGAAGTCGCAGCAGGTCACGCTGAACTCTCTCTAGTAACAAGCGAAACCTAAGAAAAGCCCATGTTTTGTGTCTTTGTGCATTTGGAAGGCTCGCCCTGATCGATGAAAGATGAATTGTTAGTAAGAGCGGGTGTATTCTGGCCCCGCACTTACAAGTACTATAATGAAGCTTCTCTCGTACATGACGCCGGTCCAAGATCACTTAGACTGAATCTCAAGTCACTCGACTAGACTAGACTCAACATAAACCCTTCTCTGTTAATAATTTCGACATATATATACATTTTATCTCCAGTCAGGGCTGAGTCGATTCTTTGAGCCTTATGACTACCCATTGGAAGTCTCATTCGCAACCATGTCTAATGCTACATTGAGTGTCGCATTACTCATCGTCTCTACGACGGCAGCTAAAGACCCTTCGACGGATTCCTCTCAAGCTGCTCTCAGCGATGTCATTGAGAAGGAAGGGGACGGAAAATGGGACCTTATCGACACTAAGATTGTTCCTGACAATATCGCTCAAATTCAGCGGCAGATTATGATGTGGACGGATATTGCGGCAGAGACCATCAACCTCATCCTAACCACCGGGGGCACTGGCTTTGCAGTGGCCGACAACACCCCAGAGGTACGTGAAAGGAATTACAATGTAATCAAAATACATATATGTCAAGCTAACTGAACTAGGCCGTATCAGCACTACTCCATAAGCCGGCCCCTGGCCTTGTTCATGGCATGCTAGCAGCTTCTTTGAACGTTACTCCATGTTAGTAGATTGGTTTTCTAATTGAATGGCGAGAACAGCCACTAACGTCGAAAAGTTGCCATGATGTCTCGCCCAGTCGCAGGTGTCAGAAACAAATCTATAATCGTGACACTTCCGGGTTCACCGAAAGGGGCTCGCGAAAACTTACAGGCAATTCTGAAGATGTTACCACATGCGTGTCTCCAAGCTGCCGGTGCGGATTCAAGAAGATTACATGCAGGCGGGGTGAAGAAACTTGAGGCAGAAGCAGGCATTAGACCAGGCGGAGGCCACTCACACTTTCATGACCATCATCACGGTCCTGGAAGTGCCCACCAGCACAGTCATGGACACAAACATGGCCACGACCACGGTCATGGCAGCTTGGTCAGGCATACGGCACCTAACTCAAACCCATTGTCTAATGACCCTAGCCTCGGGCCTAGCCGGAGGAATAGAGAATCGCCATACCCAATGCTTTCGGTCGATGATGCCCTAAACAAGATTAAAGACCATACTCCGGCGCCGGAAATTGTCACCTTTAAGGTCGACAGGTCATTACCCGGTCACGTACTAGCTGAGGATGTACAAGCGAGAGAAAATGTGCCTGCTTTCAGAGCAAGCATTGTCGACGGATATGCAGTTGTTGTTCCTAAGGACGGAAATATGAAGGGCGTCTTCCCAGTCGTCTCAGTTTCTCATGCTGCACCAGGGGATGTTAAACCCCTGAAGGAAGGAGAAATTGCTAGGATAACGACCGGTGCACCGCTTCCTCCTGGAGCTACTTCTGTCATCATGGTCGAGGACACAATTCTAAAGACTATGGCTGAGGATGGTAAAGAAGAAAAGGAAGTGGAGATTCTGGCCGATAATGTGCAAGAGGGAGAAAATATTCGCGAAGTCGGCAGCGATATTAAGGCAGGAACGACTATTCTCGGCAAGGGCGAGCAGATCTCTGCAGTCGGTGGCGAAATAGGTCTCCTCGCCGCTGTCGGTGTTGCCGAAGTGAAAGTTTACCGCAAGCCTATTATAGGGGTGCTGTCTACTGGTGACGAGATCGTTCAGCATGATCGACCCGGAGATTTACGACTAGGAGAAGTACGCGATACTAACCGCATTACCTTGATGTCCGCTGCGAAAGAATGGGGATACTATGTCGTCGATCTCGGTATTGCGGCAGATAAGCCTGGTACGTTGGAAGAGACGCTCAGGGACGCATTACGACAAGTTGATTTTATCATCACAACCGGAGGAGTCTCAATGGGTGAGCTCGACCTTCTTAAGCCGACAATCGAGAGGTCATTGGGCGGGACGATTCACTTCGGTCGTGTTGCTATGAAACCTGGCAAGCCGACGACATTCGCTACTGTTCCTGTAAAGAACAATGCCGGCGAGCGAGTCACGAAGATCATATTCTCTCTGCCAGGAAACCCTGCGTCGGCTATTGTTACATTCCATCTCTTCGTTTTGCCTTCTCTTCACCAGATCTGCGGTGTCTCGCCGGTCGGTCTGACTAAGGTCCCCGTCACGCTTGCGCATGACTTCAACCTGGACAAGACGCGGCCCGAGTACCACCGCGCCATCGTCACCGTAGGCAAGGACGGCAATCTGATTGCCGCTAGCACAGGCGGGCAACGGAGCTCCAAAGTTGGCAGCCTTAGGGGTGCTAATTCCCTATTATGTATGCCCAGTGGGAAGGAACCTCTCAGGAAAGGATCAAAGGTTGATGCTCTTTTGATGGGTGGTATTAGGAGCGAGCTATAAGCATTTTGGTGGCTTTGTTAGCGCACTTATGGCTCTGGAACACTACCAGGGCCCGATGGATCGTGGGACCTCCATCACCGGGTGCAGAGGTAATAGCGGCTGGGGAATGTTTTATATGGCTACCCCTTGGACGATTGCTACAAACGCTTCACGGCATATTTTTCTTGTCAACTCATATATAGGTACCTGGGAGAAATAATGTGAAGGCAAGACCTTGTCAGCTAGCCTCCATCGCCTGGAGGACATTTTAACAAACCCCAGCGAAATAGTTTCTCCACCATTAACCCTGTAATGTTCATATTAATATTTCCCCTTTTCTACTAGTAGGACCCGGAGTGACAGCCGGTCGGTACGCAAGTGGATTTTTTTGTATTCGCTTAATTAGGGCAGCCCCATCTGGAGGCCTATCATCTACCCATCTATTGAGCCTCAGTTCTATAATCGGACGTACGATGCTGAATTTTCATCTAAGGAGGTTCGGTCCCTCATGGGTATCGAACAAACCAAGGCGGGCTTGTGGTTTAGTGGTATAATACTCCCTTAGCATCATACGGTTTTCAAGATCGTCAACCGCTTGGGAGTGGTCCGGGGTTCGATTCCCCGCGAGTCCATCGTATGGAGGTTAGATTCCTCTTGTGCCACCAAATTTTTTTCTTTTCTTTTTCCTTGGTTGTGTACTCACAAACCGACTACAAGGCCTTAACTTGACACATTGGTATGATCAATAATCTAGAGATGTATTGAAATCATAGTTGATTGAGTACCGGCGGTGTTGGACAACGGCAAATGCAATCTATAGGTCCTAATCTCGATTTTCCTTCCTTGAATCGCAATCCAAATATAACGGTATAATTTCCAATCTATCAATGCAGAAGAGCTCGTTAAATCATTGCTTCGTTTTTAATGTCGTTTACCAGCCCTCTATAACGCCTTACGTCCTAATGTGATTAGTGCGAAGGAAACGACTCTCCTAGGAAGCCCTGAATTTGGCTTCTAGGCGATTTGCAGTAAGTATTAAGCCTAGGCGTGTATCACCCTCGTGGATATAGCCTCAAAATCAACTACACTGCAATGACAAGGCTTGTTCCGGTTTCTTCGTTCCGCGAGTCTGGGTCGGGTTTACTCGCCATTACACCACTTTCCACCACGATACTAGGGACATGCTTTCTGGGCACCCAAAGAAGCTGCACGATACCGATCACCCCAACGCCCGCGCAGCTAAACCAAGCAGCCGCAGAGCCGCCAGCGCTGTAGATGATGCCGACTACGGGAGGTGATACAGTTCGAGCTAGGCAGCAGGCTGACATCGCTAACCCGTTGACCTTCCCCAGCACCGACGGCGACGGAGTGGCGTCTTTAAGTAGAATCAACGCACAGGGGATAACAACAATGCCGAAGAAGCACTGTAGGATCATCGAGAGGTATATGGCAGGGGATACAAGAACGGACGGCATGGCAGACAGGAAGGGCATAATCACATATGCGAGGGGGTAGAGAATAACGTTGAAGACGAACGACTTCCAGACTCCGACGCGATCGACGAAGATGGGGAAGATGACGCCTTGGATAAAGAGCCCGAGGATCCCGTTTACGGAGAGGTAAACCCCTACGTCATGGACGGTGTATCCCAAGCCGCCGGTAAAATCAATTTGGCCCGGAGGTGTTGCTGGTTTATCTAAGAGGTGTGTGGGTAGAAGGGTGTTGAAGGCCATTTGATGGTATGAGACTAGGACTAGCGCGATGGTCACCATAATGATGGTAAAATTGAAAGCATTCCCGTTGAAAGCCTCGTTTTGCTTGGGCTGCGCCGGAGGTAGTTTGATCGAGCACACGGTCCCGAAAGACGATCTCCTTAGATCAAAGGTCTGCTCAATGGGTACCGGGAGGCTTTCCTCAATGAACACCGGCCTGTCAACGGTAGTCCGCGATTGACTCCTGGCTGATGGTCTTCTGTTCTTAGGGCGATGAAGCGGAGTACGCTCGTCGATGGCGTCATCGCCGTCTTCGAAAACGTCTTCATGCGCGGCTTTACTGCCCCGTGGGTTGGTCTCTTCGAGGAAGAGCATTCCCTGGATTATTGCCAATATAATGACAGCGACCGACACGAGATTCGGTAGGAGATAGGGATACCTCCCGAATAGCCCGTCGGCGGGAAATAACGACGGGTAGAACTTTGCTGGTTGGGCTAAGAATCCTCCCATCGCAGATCCTATTATGCCGCCTAAGGTCCAGACGAACGGCTGCGAAGCGTAGGCTTTCGGCTCATGCGCCGGATTCTTGACCATCTCGGCTACCATCGTTTGCATGACCTGTCATTGAGATAGGCACTTCGAATTAGTTATTAGGGATGTTAAAATAGCCTATGAAGTTGTAAGACTCACCGCGACATTTCCGTTCAATGCTCCACCGATGAACCGGGCCAATAGCGCAATCCAGTACTCGGTGGCCAATCCGAAGATGAGGCTCGAAATGGCCACGCCTCCGAGCCCGAATAGAACAACCGGCTTTCTTCCGTACCGGTCGGAGAGAGCCCCCCAACCAATGGCCGTAAGAGCTTCGGCGACGGCGTACGCCGAGACTAGGAGCCCGGCATAGAAGGATGCGTCGGTATCATCCCCGCCGTGGAGATCTTGCACCATCACATAAGTGTAGGCGAGGATGGAATTGAACGCGATCGGTTCTGAGAAGCGACATATTGCTATCGATCGGGTTTAGCCAAGAGTCAATCAGTGTCAAAACAAACAAAAATTTGTAGGGTTAATACCAAGGATGGTGAGCTGCTTGGTGGGAAAGGCATGTGAATTCGGATCCTGCGTTCTGTCTGAAGACATAGTCTAGACGCTACCACCAATCCAATAGACGTCTGATCCGGTGCACTTTTATTTTAGTCTAGCGATTTTCTTTAATCTATTAGCTCTAGGAGGAGCTCTGTTGTTGGAGAAAATTGCTGATCCCACCCAGCTTTGAAGAAGGTGGTTTTAGAGGATGGGTTTGTAGGGCCTTTTTTTGCTGCTGTGCGGGGAAGCGCGCTTGCGAGGTCGGCCTCAGGGGTGGCATCGTCGATCACTGTCCATTATTTGGAGTTTACTCGGCAGAACATCCTTGCAACTCAAGATATCCATGGTCTCACTATAAGTGAGATACGGGATCACAGCGTCACGCGAACTGATTGAGAGGAGGGGTGGATCCCGTGAAGGTAGAAGGTACCTAAGCAAGGAGGTACGAATGTTCCTATTTCAAGTGGTCGAAGGACAATGTAACCACCACTCCTTCCTCAACCCTCGTGTCCGAGTCGCGTATATTGCGTTCGATATATCTGGGTATGTACCAATCCCAAATTATCCATAGATGCCGTTATCTAGGTTTACATGGGTATTTTCGTAAGGTAAATTGCAGTATGTTAACTTTTCCAGCCAATATTCAACTTGAAGGAATGTATGTAAAGTTTGAATAGAGCGCCCACGAAGAAGCTACCACTTAGTTTCCAATGAACTCTACAAGTCGTTTTCATCTGAATCATCGTTGTCCTCACTGAGTGGACCAAGGAAAATCGACTTAACGGAGCTGAAGACGCTCTTGACGTCGACATTGTCTCTGCAAGTATTTCATTAATTAGTTTAACTGGTTGTGGAAGGGGTTAATGTTGGTTGGAGGAAAGGAGATGTAACCCACCGGCCATCAGGGCGACCAGAGCGGTCCAGGTAGCTGAGATGCTGCCTCCCATTCACTGAATCGCCAAACCTCACGAAATGGAACGAGACGTCGTTTTTATCCAGTCCCCTGTCATCCAGTTCCCTCCTTAGCCGCGAAAGGGGCCGCCCTACGCCGCAGGCCTCCCCCCTTTCCCTGTCCCCCCAGTTTCCATCGGTCAAAACATAGACGCTCGTGGGCTTCTTCGTAAAGAAATTGAAATTGATGCCAAATCCTCGATTCGGTAGGTGCGGTGTGATCGCTTTGTCGACGAGGCCTCCAAAGCGAACCTCCATCGTATGCGGGATCCGTTGGTACTGTTGATCCGCAACGAGCTGGATCAATTTCTTACTTCGGCGCCTACGGTGCAAGCACCCCGGATTTGACGCGAAGGAAAGCTCAACCTTGTGTCCCTCGAGCTGCCTCGTTAGGTACAGGAGTGCGGGGAACACTTCTTGGACCGACTTCGCGTGTTCTTTCATCGATGTCGAGTCGTCAATGAATATTAAGTGATGTCTGTCGGGGACGTTGACCCTGAGGTCTTTTACAAGCTCTTGTATTATTTGGAGAGAGTCGGTAGAACTGCTCGCGGTGCCACCTGGGGCAGATTGCCGCCTTGCAAGAATTTCTCCTAGATTCGCTAACGATAGTACCTTAGGCTCTGTCGCGACTTGTGAATTCGATATCAGTATATCGAGAGGGACATCAGGTGTTTCGTTATTTGGCGTGTCGAAAACCTGCTGGAATTTCTCTTCTAATTGCTTGGCATTGTACCGATCGTTAGCGTTATCAAGTAACATGTGCTTGTTTATAATGTCAATGATACGTGGTGTGATACTGTCGTTGATGGATTGGCAGTGCTCGCGAATTGTTGCGTGCATATCATCCACTACCGATAAGCGGCTGACACCGTCGTGGAAACAGCCTTCGTAGTCGTTCCCGCGGAATGTTCGCATGGACTGGTGGTAGGCTATTCGTCGATTACGATAGCTAACTATTTCTTCGTGGCCACCTTTTATCCAGGCACAGACGTCACTGAGGACGGCACCAAAAGAGAAGATATCGGCTCTGGTATTGATCATATTTGGGGCATTCTCGGTGTAAGAGGCGTGGTGACTACACTCAGGCGCGCCTATTCCCTATTAGAACCAAGTACGTAGAGAAGTAACCCAAGGAACAACATACTGTAGAGTTGGTTCCCAACTTGATCGAGCCCGGTCGCCTCAGAGCTGTTTGCCTTTGATTCTCTGACGTGCGTAAATAGCCCAAAGTCTGCTATCTTAGGAACGAAGTCATAATGCGAGCCCGATAACCCTTTGAAGAGTAATATGTTCTCGGGTTTAATATCTTCGTGGATCCTGGCGAGAATGTTAGCCAGCCGATTGAGAAATGTTATACTTTGGCACCCAATGCTTCATCTTACCCATTGACTTTGCCATTAATGTCCATCAAGTGGTGGACACAATGAAGACCTTGGAAACAAGGAGATAAGCTCTCCCAGAACTGCCGGACCTCGACGCCTTTTGGACTTCGAGTTGTTCTGAGGAACTCGGCGAGATCTCCTCCATCGGCGTACTCGAGTATTATGTTATAAGTGCCATTTTGCTGGAAAGAACCGTAGTATTTGATGACGTTCGGAGGAGACGAGTTCCTTAGCATCCGTAAAGCTTTGACTTCACGTTCGTAGTACTTCGAGAACCTCGGACGATGATACGTCTTTAGTACGAACGTATTTTGAATTGGTCGATCTTTCTCATCCTATTCGTAGAAGGAAAATAAGTTAATAATAGCTCTGTCATGATTCGGGAGGCGAGATGAATACCTGTGGCACAAGAAAATTACATGAACTGTCAATTGTGATTTTTTGAATGATCGCTGCGTCTCCTTGTGTGAGCCTATCGTGAGAGAGCCTTGCTAACTT